ATATGAGGGAATACCCTTTTCCTTGATAACTTCCCTTTATTTTGATTTTTTAATTCTCGTCAGCTAAATCTAAAATAGTGGCTAGATTTTACTATTTGATCACATGAAAGAATTTTTCCATTCCAATAATTATTTAGAGTTATAAAGCATTCTTCGGTATTTTATAAATAAAAGAGGTTAAATTAACGTATTTATTTTTACCTAATCCATAAACACACATATGTAGACATAAAAATGAATGAAAGGCATTTAATTAAAAGTTTAACTAAGCAATTTTCCGATTAAGACTGTTATTTAAAATTCTCTACTTTCCTGCGAGAAGACTGTTATTAAAATTCGATACTTTTCTACCATTTTGCGAAGTTTCTGAATGTCAGCAACATATTTAAAGATTTATTTTTCAACAAAATGTTTCAAAAAGATTCTCTTCGAATGCGAGCACATTATTGCCTTCGTGACAGCTGGAATAAATGATGTGTAGCTTGGCATTCATTCGAAGCTATAAAACGTTTTCTTTCAAAACATTTGTGTAAAATTCTAAGAAATATTTCTCTTTTATTTACCCCGATTTAAAGCTGTTGAGGGAAAGGGAAAATTATTAAAAGCTACCTTTCGGAATGCGTGATTTCATTTAAAAGATTTACTACATATTTTTCATTTCTTATTGCTTCTGCAAGAATACTATTTATGTGTGAATACAAATAACAAAGTCTAGAATTTATTTCAAACCATCCCGTTGGAAGCCATTGATCTACAAGAGATTTTGCTTGAATAAAATGAAGAACATTCTCATAAAAATGAGTATAAATATTTTTGTTTATCTTTTCCTTATATTCTTGATTATTTTATTTGCATTTCATTGCATGCATTATTTTAAGTAGTGTATTTAATTTAGTGACATAAAAGTATACATTTTTAAAAAATTTTTCTTATATGTTATTGAAATTCTTGACAAAAAAATTAATATTAAACCTGTTCTAATTACTATATACTGCATTTAATTGTTGGTTTAATATTTTACTTTCTCTTAGTCTTATTTTGCATAGTTTTGCGAATTTAAGTAAGTTGAGATCTTAACAATTAAGCGAAACTAACACTTATCAACAAAAGATGATGATGATGTACATATGGTTCCAAAAAATTAAAAATTAAAAATAAAATTCAATTCTCTCTATACAAATATTTATTTGATATGTTAGTATTTTATACCTCACATACGAAGATTAGCAGAAAATACTTTTTTAGTTTCAAAATCTAACAATATTTCAGATTGTATTCTTGCACTCTTTAACAAAGGTCTGCATATGCCTAACTAAAGTGAAGCATTTTGCAAAAAATAAAATACTGATATTTTCATTTATTCATTTATCCTATTTAAAGTTCGTTTCAGATAAGAAATTAAATAATCCATCTTTTAGTTGAATATAAAAAATAAAAGAGCAGAAGTCACTATTTCATATAGCAATATAGAAGTCACTATATTGCTATATGAAAAACTGTAATTAAATTACTGATTGAAAAGAAATCTACGCGAGAGCGTCAAGAAACACTTAAATTGGCAAAGACCTTTGCGCAGACAGTAATAAGAAACTCTTAGAAGATAAAAAGCAAGCCATGAAATGGAAGACCGTTGAAATAAATAATCCAGAAAGAAGGTCTCTCATAAGAAACGTTAACTAGAATCCTTGAAAATTCCATACAATTGAGCTTCAAGAGACAACGAGAATTCAAAAAATTAAGTACATCCTGAAACTGCTAGTTATTGTCTCAGGAAAAGACGTTTCATAACTGCAGTCAACAAACAATACACAAAAGTATCTGATTTTGCAAAATAAAGGTTCGTGAAGAAGATACTAAGTTTTGGAAAAGAGGAAGAGTTTACTGGGGAGTGCAAATTTAACGTATTAGGAAATGAGGGGAAAACTAAAATGCGACGAAAGCGGAATGAAGATACTAAAATTAAAAATATGACGTCCACTGTACAGTAATGTACAAAAGTTTAAGACCAGTAGTCGTTTTCCTGTATTTTAACAGACTGCACATTTTCGCTCGTGATTGCGCTATCTGATGGGTTGATTGCATCAAACGCTTTCTACTGCTATAAATATAACGTGATCTCGTTTATCAGTAGTTCGTTATTAGAGTTTGTGTACACAGTGTTGTTGTATAATTCTTGTAATGGGTAAAAACCCTTCACTTAATGCTGAAAAATGGGTAAAAATAGTGGCCCTGCTTGACGTTGGTTTTTCTGCACGTGAAGTAAGTTTGAAGGTAATTGTCAGCAAGACAGATGTGCAGTCAGATCTATTGGTAAATTCAAAATTTCGGGAATTTATACGGATCTTAAGAGATGCGGCCGCCCAAGAAAAACTTGTGCATGTGATGAACGAGTGATAAGAAGGATGAGCACTCGATTTCCAACAACCTCCTGCGATAAAATTAGAGCTGCTCTGGCTGCAAACGGTACCAACGTCAGTTCAAGTACTATTTTCAGATGTTTGACTAAAGATTATGGTTTATTTTCCTAAATAACTGCAAGAAAACCTCGACTTACTTAAAGTATGAAAACGGAACGACTGACTCTAGCCAGACAATATCAGAATTGGACCAAACAACAGTGGATTACAGTGTTATTTTCTGATGAGTCAAGTGTGCATCAATTTTCTGCGCCTGCTAAATGTATTCGATGCCCATTTGGAAACATATATGATGACAGATATACGATTTCGACAGTGAAATACCCAAGCCAGATGAGGGCCACAGGACAAAGAATGTTAAGGACTGTCTGAGAGCTACTCAAATCCAAGTGTTTGATTGGCGAGGTAACAGCCCAGATATAAATCCCATAGAGAATCTGTGGTGTACTGTGAAAAATAAAGTCACGGAGAAGCTACCATCCATTGCTACAGAATTTTAATAAAGCATTTGTATTGTACAGAGATTTCTCAAGCTTACTGCCAGTCTCTTGTTCACAGCATGCCTCAAAGGATTACAGCAGTGATAAAAAATAAAGGAGTCCTTCAAAATACTGATGACACTTCAATAAACTTGTATGTCTATTTTTTTCATTTATATGTTTTTGTAGCGGAATTCCAATAAATCTGATTTTTCCATGAGTGGTCTTAAGCTTTTGCACACGACTGTAAAACAAGGAGAGGGTTCTATTATAGTCTACAAATGCACACAAATGCACGTATGGTCTGTCAAAGGTGTTGGAAAATTGCACTGTTTAAAAATAATAATGGACAAGCATGTACGTCTGAAAACATTGAAGATAAGGTTTTTTAATAGTACAGGTGATCTAGACGTATCGTAGAATTAATTATATTTCCAAAAGATAACAATCCGAAGCATAATAACCGAAGAGAATATATTTTTAATGTCCTGCTAAAATCTTTCTTTATCGACAAATTCTAGAATTTCTTATGAGTTAATGAATCCAGCAAAATCCGTTGAGGTAATCAATTCATGTGTCTTTCGTATTTATATGCATGAATTTATATAATTAGCATACTAAATAATTAGACACAATTTCGGGTTGTTTATTCTCCCATCAATAAAATTCCGAGTTCCATACTCAAGGACCCCATTCCGGATATGAAATCCTGGCGCATTTATAGGATTCCTTGCCAATGTGGTTTAATTTACATTGGCCAAACTAAGAGAGCCCTAAAATTTCGCGTCAAGGAACATGAGGCATATGTTAGAAAAAAGGAAACACAGAAGTCTTCTGTTGCTCAAACATGTTGGTCCGAAAATCACACTTTCAATTTTCTGCTACCCAAATTATTCAAAAAACATCTGTCATTGGAGAACTGGATTTTCTAGAGGCATTTCACATTCATAAAAATCTTTCTGTTCTAGTTAACGATCCTAACTCCAATCCAACTTTGTCTTCGGCCTTTAAAGAAATTATGTTTTAGTTCTGGTTTCACCAACAGATGGCGCCACTTACTTATTCTTGTCCAGGCTTTCTTATCTTATCTAATCGTTATTTCCTATCTTGTTCATTTGCGGTTTTGCAGCTGAGGATGGTGGTTCGGTTAAACCATCGAAACTAGTCCTGTGAAAATTTTGTAAATATAACGCTGATTTTTGTTGTTTGACTTCTGAATTAATACTAAATAATTCAAACATCTATATGCGAACTGCTTATGAAAAGTTAAAAATATCTATATGTAAATAAAATAATTAAATAATTGAAAATCGGCAGCAGTAAAGTTAATGTCACCAATAATTGGAATCGATTTCGAATGTCGTAGACTAGGCAGGCGGAATCGGAGTTTTCATGATTTTTCTCACGTGTAAATAAATACACACACGAACTAGTTTTCCTTAAAAATTCCTCCATGAAGACATCCCTTCCAATAGGCTGACAGCTGTCCAATTGCGTGGCCTTAGTCAATGAATTTTACCCAATAAAATGTTGCCTTTTTGCCAATTTTTAAACTTATAGTAGACATGTAGCGTATTTTATTATCTAGCTTATGATTTTCAAGAGTAAGATTCAGTTTTTTAAGGAGTAATATTACTTGCTAAAGAACTGAATACAGTAATTTTACCGATATTTTTTATCTCCTGTAATTTTTATAGCTGAATATTTTTATGTCTTAAATAAAACACTCTAAAATTTAGAATACTTAATTATTTTTCTACACAAATACAGAATAAATAAATTTAGTTTATATTCTTAAATAAGCAAAGTAAGAAAGATGCAAAATAATAATAATAAAAAATAGCGATAAATATTTTAAAAAATAATAAATAAAATTGCAAAACAATTATAAAATATTTATGCAGTATAGTTCAATTTCATTCTACATATCGAAACAAAAAGCGAATTGTGACTTAATCTATAGAAATTTGTTTTTGTTACTTTTCACTTAAAGCACAGAAACATCTTCAAAATTAAATATATTTCGAATAGTAGACAGACATAATTCTAAAAAGTTTAACACAGTCACATTAAGATATAACTATCTAATTAAATTACTACGTACCAACCACTCAAACTGAACTCAGACCTTCGCTTCAGCTGCAGAGGAAGGTAAATTTAATCTTTCTGTTGTCAACTCGCATCTACTAAATGGCTTTTCAAGATGCGTCAGAACCAGAGCTCGGCGGGACGAAGCATTTAAAGCATTCAAGCCGAAAGTTTCAAGCGTAGACGAATAATTCTCCCGTGAAGTTAACTAAGCATTGCTTTTAGAAACGCGAGTCGGGCTTTATCAGCGATATTTTGCGCAATAATAGAAAAGAAAACAACCGTTGCCATTACATCATTTTTGAGCAGTTCCTCTCGGAATGGCTTTGAGAATGCAAATTTTGAAGTTTAAGATGTTGTCGAAAAGGAATGTTTAGTTGAGAAGAGGCGAATGTTTGGATGTTACCACTCTGAGTTCTAGAAACGTCAGTGGGCAGAAGTTTTATAAATACAGCATAGTCCATATGATCCTTTCAAAACCAAAATCCTAAAGGTCCCCCCCCCCTAATACGAAAATAGTAGTTTGTTTAGGAGGATACGTCTACATGCTTCGAAAATATATGTATTCAGTCATACAGCCTCAATTCAATATTCAGTCATTCAATATTTTTAAAAAACCTGTAAGATGCGAAGTTGAGAAAGCTTGCTTTCATGCTGATCTGAATTAAAAGTTCTCCATTACGTAAATTTCAACTTAAATTTAAATTGGTTCTATAGCAAAAATCGGTGAAGAACTACTTTATAAAGACAATATCGCTCTAATATAATTTAAACGACAATATCGCTTAAAGTATAACTTAGCATTAGCAATTAGGCTGACGTATATTATTCTGAATATGATTTCTGCAACTAACAAGCACGTTTGAGAATTCTTTTGCTGAACCGTTTCGGAATTCATAGCTAGTGCCCCCAATTTTCTCATTGATGCCACTGCTGCTTTTGCTATTTGATATTCCTACAGGGTTCGAGTCTCGGCAAAGAAGCTAGCTACTCCGTAGTTTTCTCCATGTGAAACGTGAATTCGAGCCAATTCCTCCACGAAGGCATTCCTCCCTATATACAGATTTGTTTTTCCGTAAATAATTAACTAGCATAAACTAGAATTCTTCTTAGGTTCTGATTTTCGATTTTAACTTTTTCTTATTAATTTGTTATTAGTGTTTTAAAAATATATTGGTGTTCATTTTCCTCATTCATTATCGCTAGCTTTTTACTTTCCTTGGTTGTTATATGCTTTACTTTTTGAACTTTTGTTTGGAGAGGGGGGGTTAAATATTTTATCGTTTCTGGCATTCAGATTCTTTTGTAAGAGCTATTAGATTTCGTTAGGTTGTCAAAAACCAGAAGTTTTAAGAATACTTTAACAGTCTGCGTTAGTTTTCGAAATACGTTTTAGGAATATTATAACAGTTTTTCCCATCTTTGGGATTTTATTTTCTAAGTGTTTTCCCTAGTATATTTAATAACATATTTTAAATTTTCCCTTTCCCGTTTTTAATCTTTTCACTTAATTATCGATTTTATTTCGATAGTTTTTGTTTCCTACATACTCTAACAATATTTTACTGATTTTGATACAAAATAATCTTTCTAAAGCACATGTTTTCTTCTCCTCTCACATGAATTTCCATTTTAAACGAAGCCTTAAAATTCACATTTCAAAATGAAATTAAAACTTTTCATTCATTTTATGAATAGAATTCGTATAATTTAATGAATGAACAAAAAGCAAGGACATATCATACATTAGATGCTTCCTCTAATAGACACAAAAATGTATAAAAACAACGCTACTGAAAGGGCATGTCGCACTTATTTGTTATTTACCTAATTATGTTTGAATTTCTACGAAATTACATGAAAATGTCACGTTTCAAAAGAGCTAAAACGAAGTAGTTTGAGTTAATGATTTAATTTTACTCTGATACATTTCTTCAAAATCGTTTTTAGATACGTTAACTTGCAAGTGTTATAAATATACGTAGTACGACAATTCTATGATGGGAAGGAAGAGAGGTTTAAAAAAGTCTTCCTCCGTTTGAAAAGTCTGCCTTCTTCCTTCTGTGAGGGGACAGACAAGTTACATCTGTGCCTTCTCAGGGATTCAAAACTCGGCCTTTCGGTGCTAGATTCAGAGTCTCTAACCACTTTCCCGTCTGGGAGGCTTTTGGAGGCAAATACATGGAATTATCATTACAGGTTTGGTGATAAAGGTGGATGTGATACAAGACGTGGAGAGCTGTGGAGACTTAACTGTGGGTAAGTAACAAATTCTCTATTTATTTTAGAAAGCATTGGATTCGAAGAAGTTCAAACTTAGAAAATACTTTTAAAGAAATCCTGTAATTATAGTGTTTATTTGCTAGAAGAAACTGACAGAGTCAAAACCATTTGCTATGGAACGAATAAAGCAGAAACGGGCGATTGTTAGGTAGTTACTTGGAATCTTTTAACAGCGGCAAGACTACATAATTATCTAAATATCTATATATACTTTTCTTAAATTCAGTAATATATTTCTTTGGACTGATTCGAAATATGTTTGTATTGTATCAGGAGTTGTGCTTGAGACTGGAAACATTTCGTCTGTAATCATATTGCAGAAATCAAAAAAAAAAAAAAAAAAAAAAAAAAAAAAAAGGAGTCTGAAAACTAGTAATTTTGTATAGGGCAGAGCTTCTTAAACCTTTATCAGTCACGACCCCTTTTATCACTGAGATTTCTTTCGCGGTCCTGGGGCTCGCGAAATTTGTGGGACCCTATAAGAATTGCGCAATTCCGACACACGCGTGAAACTGAAAATTTTTTCACTGATACTGTAGTATACTACTTCCGTTTTAGGTCACAAACATTCATTTTTAATTTTAAGACATAGAACAATGTAAAAATTTTAAATAAATAGCATACGAAATGACAGTGTCATGTGTAAATCAAGCATAATGATAGTTTATATTATGAAAAGAATGCGTCAAAGCGTTTTCATTTTTTCTTTGCCTGTATTGTCTTATCTTTATCTATTTTCAGATACATTGTGTAAAAATATTTGGTAATTGTAAAATTATAATAATAAGTTAAAGAAATATAAAAATTGTTAAAAGTTTTGACGATTACCTGCTGCAGGTCCTGCGAGCTCTTTGGGGGTCGCGATCCACAGTTTAAGAACCTGTGGTCTAGGGAATGAAACTTCAGCCGATAAGATTATGTAAGGGTATTACGTCGGTTAGGCTGTGGTGGAATAGACAAAGCTAGTTTCAAAAATCTTAGAATTCCGCGTTCCAGACAACGAACGTTAAAAGTTGTGACTATGCGGTCTTTGAAAATAAAAAGCGGTTAAATATCATGTGGAGTTAAATCAGAACGATGATTGATATAGAGTTAGATCGGGAATTAAGATATCGTGTGAAGTTAAATCAGAACGCGAGCCACTATTGGACTTAAATAATTAAGACAGAATAGATTTATTCGATTAACAGCATGGATTAATAGATGTTTTCCCAATATCAAACTGAATTCTCAAAATATTAAAGGATTTTTGACAGAGCAAGAACTGGACAATGCCTTAATGTCCTGGATCAAATATATTAAAAACCTGAGTTCCAAAAGGAATTAATACAATTACCTCTAGGAAACGTGGTGAATAATTCGTCTCGGTGGTTTATCCTTGACCCGAAATCGGATGAAAACACGCATGTACGTTTACGAGGACGACTTCATATTTTATGTTTTAATGCTAGTCAAATTCACCCCTGGATAGTTCTGGAAAATCATCACTATATTGAACTATTAATTACACGAGAACATCAAAATGTGTTGGATTTTATTGTTTATTGTTTCTGATACGTTTGTACGCATTAACAGCCGTCATTCGTTTATAGGAGGTCGCCAAAGCATTAAAAGGGCATTGAACAATTGTTATAAACGCAAAAAGTTCAAAGCAAGTCACGGAACACAAGTAACAGTTCCACTGCCTCTTGTTTGAATTAAACATATGCGTTTGAGGTTACTGAAGTGGACTTTGCAAGAGCACAATATGCCAAACTTAAAAGTAAAATATCATGCATTGCTGTTTTACCATGCGCAGTAACTGGCATCATTTCCTTGAGAAGAGAAATTTGAATTGGAGAAATTATTTCGGGCGTAACAGGTGAGAAATATCTTGTTGCTTTTCCACGCGCGACTTTTAGGAGAGAAGAATATAATCTTCACAAATTTAAGGTATCCAGTCACAGATGAACATGTTACGGATTTTTATAGTAGAAAGAGGATCAGATTTAAACATATAGTACAAGAAGCTGTTTGGTGGGGATGATTTTGGTAAAGGATGGTCAAAATTTGTGAGAAAAAACTTCTTCGAAAGGTTTTATTATCGTATGAAAAATTAAAAATTTTAATAACAGAATTTGAAGCTGCCATTAATTCTTGTCCGATAACCGTATGTGTATAATGAACCTTTAGAGCCATCTCCTCTACCTCCTTCTCAATTTTAGTAGATAAAAGACTGACAATCTTTTTACGACATATCTCTCGACATAGCTTCGTTACTGATGCAGCTGACTTCCTCGGTAGATCTAACTAGATCTGTTTCTAATATAGCTAGATCTACCAAAGAAATCAGCTGGTGCAGAAATATCATCTTGAAAAGAATCTGTATCGCCAAAGTGAGCTAAATGATTTTTGGTGCATTTGGGTGCAAAGAATACTTACTACAACTAAAATGTGCTGATTACGTAACGCCTATCGACGTGGCACACGAGATTAAGACTGATGATGTCGTGGTAATACAAGATGGCAAGTTACCTCCGCATATGTGGAGACACGGGAAGGTAGCATATATTCACACAGGAAGAGATGCTAAGGTACATAGTTTCACATTGAAGGCTTCAACAGAAATGTAAAGAAGACCGATGCAATATTTTTTTCCTTCTTTAGAAGCTTATGGAGGTATTTTAGTTTAATTTCGAGCAATTTAACATTTATTACTGATGAACTTCTTCATCGCGGGGGGAAGGATGCAATAGAGTATATGTCAACAACATTGCCGGCTTGGCACGGTGGAAGCATGGCACTATGCGCATCTTACTACTTTAAAATAATTGCTACTTTAAAGTATTAAGTTTTAAATTGTTTAATTTTATTTGCACTTGTTATCCATCTAGTGACG